TCTCCGCATGAGACACAGGAAGTATCTAAGTACATTTACTCAAGTACTGTACTTAAAGGTAGGGTAGGTAAGAATGGAGAAACCAGCTGGAGTGCGCTAGAATTTGAAAATACGCAGCCGAAAAAAATCTGCCCCTTCCTTCAGACTTCCTCACAGAGCCCCTCCTCCAACACACACGAACGCACACATGACCAATGAGGGCATGAGATAAGTTTGTGCACAGATGGAAGGCTGACAGGCAGGTAGGCCATCCAGTTACTTTAGCCGGGCCGGCTCAGATGATTGGTCGTGCTTTTTACAGCGCCACGGCTTCCACAGATGACATTTCTTTTTGTATTTGTTGTCAAAGCACTTCAGATATTCATTGCTATCGGGACGTTAAGAGCATTCCATGGAATATAACAAAAAGTGTTTTTGAAGTGAATTACCTACCCCACCTTTAAGTACTGTACTTAAGTACAGTACTCATCTCTGTTCGCCTCGCTGTTGGCGCTGAACGTCAGGGAGCCGAGACTATATAAAAAAAATAATGGAGTAACGCACCGAGTAGTAACGGTAACTGAGTTACTGAATTTAAAAAATAACGCGTTAGAGTACTAGTTACTGCAACGCGTTAGTCCCAACACTGCTAATTAATAGCTATTCAGGTATAACTTCCTGAATGGCTTGTGATCGGTTTGTTCATTTCCATAAGAACAAACGATCTAATCAATGTTTCCCTTTTGCTCCAAACTAAAGCAAACCAACTCTTAGATGTTATCATAACATTGATTCAATATAAATACTTGTCTCACCTCAAGCCATCAACAGAGCAGACATCCAGGACACAGACATGGAGGCCATCATGGACACCATCGTGGACAGTCTCTTTTGTTTCTTCGTCACTCTGGGTGAGTTGGAAAGGAATTGCTAACCATCTTAAAACATTGTTTGATTATTTATTTAAGGCTGTTTTTAATCCTGATTGAAGCAGTTTTTTTTATTAATGTAATCTTTCACTGCAAAAAAAATGCAGTGTGGTTTTGATTCTGTCCACCAGATGGCAGTGTTCACTTTAATCTCCAACATTTTCCTTCTGTCTCTAATTAACAATCTTTTTTTAAGTTCTTAAACTCTTAGATGCTACAACACTCAGAGTCCTTGAAGTTGTTTTTAATATTTCCATATTATGTTTAGCAAATACTATAAATAGAATGAGAAGTAAAAATACCACAAAATGTGTTCTGATTATACGAAAGTCTTGAAATCTGGTACATTAATTATTTGGGAAATGGTACAACTTTGAAGTTTCACAAGAAAATATATTTTGAGAAGAACAACTAGCCACGGTTTGACCCATTTTGTACATTTCTTCAGATTTATCTTGATTTCAGTTGGAAGACAAAATGGTTTAAGTGTGTTTTGTTGTTGTTTTTGTTCAGGTGCAGTACCGATCATTCGCTGTCCCCGTGGTAACGCAGCGGAGATGGTTGCCGTGGTGAGTTGACGTTCAATGACAAATCATCAACTATTTCATTCAGTTTTTATTTTATTTCTCTCTTTGAAGTAAACTAGTGTGATATGATGCAGCACACATATATTAATTGTGTGTGTGTGTGTGTGTGTGTGTGTGTGTGTGTGTGTGTGTGTGTGTGTGTGTGTGTGTGTGTTGTAGAAGTTGGATAAGAAGCTCAGAGAGAACCTGCGGGACGCCAGAAACAGTCTCTTCACGGGAGACAACATGGCCGCCGGACAGTTTAGGTAAACAATCTGTTAAAACAAATGATAAAACTGAGATCATGGGAAACTCAACTTCCCAGAATGCAGTGCTGTATGAGTTCAGAGGTGGGCTATGTGTTTCATGACTCTTTTTTTATCTTCTCCAGTTTCCAGAGGCCTCTGTTCGTTCTGGCGGATCGTAACGTGGACATGGCCACGCCCCTCCACCACACCTGGACCTATCAGGCGCTGATCCACGACGTCCTGGTGAGCTGTCAATCATCTCTCTCATATTGTATTGATCCATTAGAAAACATGAATACAAACACCTACATTTTAGTCAGATTTTCAATGTCTAACTTCCTGTCTGTGTCACCCAGTTCAGCAGAGTGGCTCATTGGTGTGTTTTTAATAGTTTTTGGACATTGATGGAGCTCTTTGGCACAGAGGAAGAAGATAATGAGGCTTTGATACACACACCATACTGTGGGTTTTGGTCTGGACATATGTGTGTAGGAAAGAATATTTCAAAATTGACCTTCAACCCTTAAAATTAAACATGAAGCTGCAACATCTGTTTGAGGTTTGATGGGAGAACTGTCCCTTACTTACTGTGCCCAGCAGAGTAACATTTAGCAAGTGCAGTGTGAAAGCATCTTAACAAGTCCTTACATTCATATTCATCTGCTGGAATAATTGTCGTTCAAAAGGAACAACATATAAACGTAAACATATGAATGCTTTGTTATGGTTTGTTAAGGAATATCCATTGAACAATGTGCTCCTGAAGACACCTACTTTAGCAGGAACCACTGCAGAGGGGCTTTGAGCACTTTGCCATGTGTTTACATCTGTGGACAGATTTTCATTCATTTCAACCGTGCAACATCACACACCTATACAGATGTGCATTTGGAATTACTAGGGATGTAACGATACCAAAAACTCACGGTACGATAATATCGCGATAAAAAGTCCACGGTACGATATTTATAGCGATATTGAAAAATAAAGAAAAACATTTTAAATTTATTTTTAGTAAAAAATTATATGTAATTTTTTTTATTTTATTTTTTTTACTTGAATTTGTTTTCTTTATTAAATAATACATCTGATTTGTACAGCATTTTAGTCGGATAGTAGTATTTTAAAATGTCAACAATATAATAATCAGACCCTGCAATAGAATAAATTTAGTTTCACTTTAGTTTTTCAAGTAACTCAACTCTAACTCACTCACTCAGCATCATCAAGGTTATCTTTTAGGAATATGAGCATGTCCACATTTCCAGGTAGAAGCTGGGATGTTTGGGCGTTTACAGTATCCCCTCTTGCTTGGTACTGATGTTGCTGGGACAGAGAGATATGCTTTGGCCATGGGTGACAGCAGTGGGTCAAACTGTGCATTGTCTCTCCACCACTTCAAAAACAATACAGTTGTTGCCAAGAAGGTGAGGCTTATTGACAGGGCGAGATATAAATATACTGTTGGTACTTGTCAATGTCTCTAGGTATGTACATGTAGCCCTGTAAATACCATGTCCTTTTGTGTTCTGTTGTTTTATGTTGTAACCTACTTGCTGCCATGTTGGACAGGTCTCCCTTGAAAAAGAGATCGATGATTTCAATGGGACCATCTCGTTGAATAAAGGTTTAAAAAAAAAAAAATTAATAAAAAAATATCGCGATATTCGATATATCGCTACATCCCTAGGAATTAAAATGAAAGCCCTCTAATTCACAGTCCTGGCTCAATCTGGAATCAAGGTCCTCTACAGGTGTTAACATGGGATTAAATTAAGGCAGAGGTTGAAGATAGGTGTGGTCCAAACAAAGGAGCTGCAATTTGGGGGCGGAAAGTTAGATAAATGGCTAATCTCTAATAGTGGAAAAGCTGGTTTCCCTAAAACGACTGCCCACTGTTTACTTCAATACTTATATTTACATTTTTTTATAATGATGCTATTTGATTTTTTTAAAGAGGCTGTATTGTGCTTTTTCTGGTTTCCCTTCCCTGTAGTGTGTTCTATAGGTTTTAGTGGTCGGCAAAGGCTACAAGGCTCGTGTTCCCTCCAGAGGGAGTTATATGGCCCTCTAACGTGTGGTTTATTCATTTCTATTTTCGATATGCAAGTCTACTATTTTCACTTTGACCTTTTATCTGCACTCTACCTTCTCGTTGCTGTAAATATCCGCGCTTTGGGACCTAAAAAGTATTTCTGATTTCTGAACCGAGCCAAAGCAGGAGTTGTTGCTAACAGGACTAACCCTCGGCGTTACAAAATGTCTTGTTTAAGGAATTATTTAAAAACAACCGCCAGCATCGTGATTTAAAATCAGAGTGTTGCCGCACCAGAGCCAAGAAACACGTCTAGCGTTTGTTTTTGGAAACAGGTGACACGACGTTGCTCCATCTTAAGACTCTCTTTTCATTTCTTACATCTGGTCCAGGATCCAGACTGTGATCTAGTTTCTGCTGTGGCTCCAACTTTGACGGCGTGTCCAGATGGCGTAACTCTCTGGTCTCTAAAACCAGCCACCCAGCAGGAGACCCCAAAACTAAATCCCCTCTCATCCCTCGACTGTTCCCATCACAATTCCCTGAGATATTATGATCTGCTGCTGAGGATCCGTTCCCCGCGGCCTCCGAGCTGATGTCTTTGGTTTTTGGATTTCTTCCCAGATATCTTTTACACATCAGGGCTTCATGTGCTGGCCCTGGATCAGATTTCATATTCATTAAGTGTCCCAGAATCACTTGTAGGATTTTAAGTTAAAGGTCCCATGTCATGGCCATTTCCACTGATCATAATTCCATTGTTGAGGTCTACTAGAATAGATTTATATTGTGCAATGTTCCAAACTCACATTGGTTTCTCAAACAGCATCTCTGTAAACTACGTGTATTCACTGAATTTCACTCTCTGCCTTTAACGGCTCGTTGTAGCTCCAATAGCTCCAGCCCCCCCCCTCCCTGTGAGCACAGTGTGCTCTGATTGGTCGGGACGTTGTGAATCGCGCTGAGCTCCGTGGAGGTGTGGTTTCCTTGTTTAGCGACAGCGAAACACAGCCAAACTCACCCTGAGCACACACAAAGTCACAGCCGAAGTAAAAACAATAAGTGTGGCTTGATATTGAGTAAGAAAAAGGTTGATAAACGCTGTGAGAATGGGTCTGCAGAGAGAATTTCGCCGCGATCCCAACTGTCTGTTATCAGCCTGCAGCCAGGGAGGAGAGATCAGCAGAGCTGCCTGCACTGAGTGTGTGTGTGAGGAAGTCTGTGGATTGGTCAATTTGGACCAATCAGCGGGGGCTTAACGTAACGGCTCCACGGATTGGTCCAT